TAATAATAATAATAATAAGTATTAAAATTTTATAGTAAAAATAAGACAGAGCCAATGTATATTTCAATTTGTACTGAATATAAAGTTATACGAAAATCATATTTTATAATAACACAAAGAAAAAAACATGCTCTATAAAAATGATTTTTGATACAAAAAAAATATACCATGTACGGTGTGTAACATCCCAAAAATCACAATAAATTTTAATTTTTAAAAAACAACTCATTTCATCCATAAAGTGTTTACAAAACCAATGTGTCAAAAGTATTATTCAAAATCAGAGTATCTCAATATCCAATGTCATAAAAACAGAAAGATGTGCACAATCACGTCTTCGTTTTCCCACGATCCTCTGAAATACGTTAAACAATAAACTGAAACTGTAAGCCAAAACTTAGCAAGTTCCCCCAAAGTACCATCACACAACATAACAAACAACATCAAGCAAATATGAGCCTTCAGCCTGACTGTACCGCCTCACAGGGCCTACAGCCTATCTGGACCGCTCTCCGAGCCTTCGGCATGACTGGACCGCCTCGCAGAGCCTACAGCCTATCCGGACCGCTCTTCGGGCCTTCGGCCTAGCTGGACCGCCTCATAGGGCCTACAGCCTATCCGGACCTCCTCTGGTATCTTGGCCTTCAACATAAAGCAAGACTGCCTCAACCCCTCCATAATATGTCGACATATACAATAGATAAACATAAACACATATCAAACAAATACATGTAATCATACATATCTACTAATTTGTCATATAACTAGCATAACATCATCCTATATACCAGGATACATAACCTAGTGGGCCGACATTGGTGCCTTCGACCTACGAGTACAGTGATGAAAACTCACTTGAACCACTTGACAGAAGCCCAACAACTACCTCAACATCCAAACAGCCAATCCAAACTTCCTTAAACCAAACTGAGACCAATCCTTAGTCAAATACTCAATTTTACCCAAGTTTGACCAAAATTCAAACTGGTCAAAAAGTCAACGGTCAAGTAAACGTCATGTCGTGATCATTCCTTGATCTCGTCGTGAGAATGAAACAAAAAAACAATCGCGACTCAGGGCACCGTCATGTCGTGACACATCCTATGTCACGTCGTGAGTTCTGGTTAGAAGGCCAAAATCTTCATTAAGTGCTTAATCTCTTTGGAACAAGGCCCATAATCTCATATCTAGATCCTAAATAGTTTCATAATGGATAAAGTTTCCAACTTTATCCATTATGATGGTCCAAACAACCAATATCCAGTCTTTAAGTCTTAAAGGGACCAAGAATGCATCTTTCTCAACTATATCTATTAAGTCCAAGACTCCAACCTTTAGATATGAATCAACATGATGTTTAGATGGATAAAGTTTCCAACTTTTTCCATAATATTGTCTCAAACTTTCAAGATCTAAACTTTATTACCCCCACAATAACCTAAATGACCAAGATAACTTGCATGGCTGAAAGGGAAGGCAAAAGATCAAAACTTTCCTAGTCCAAGTGGTCCAAGAAAGCATTATAAACTGATCAAAAGGGTGTTGGAGTCCATATTTGAAACATACAATTCTCTTGGGACCTTGGAGAGTAATAAAGTTGCAAACTTTATCCCTAAATCTCATTAAAACTCATTAAAATGCACCAAAACACCAAATACACTTAGATCTAAAGATGAAATGCAATAAAGCTTGGAACTTTATAACTTACAAAGGTCTAAAAGGTAGATGGAAGTTGAGATCTTCAATTGCCAAGCTTTAAGGATCAATCTTGCATTAAAACATTGCTCCAAAACCACCAAAAACTCTATAAATGGATGAGAGAGGAAAGGGGAGGCTCAAATCTTGAAAATGGAGGCTAGGGTTTTTCCCAAGAGGTTCTATATATGATGGAGGCTAAGAAAATACCCTAAAACATGAATCCTTGCCTTTAAATACCATGAAAACCCAAAAAATCTCATGAGCTTTGGGCTGCACAGTTCTCATGTCGTGAGAATAAATTCTCACCTCGTGAGCACTTATCGCGTCGTGAGAATTAGTGCTCACCTCGTGAGAACGGGTTTTCATCCAATTTCACTCCAACTTCGAACAATCATAACTTCTTTGTTCCAACTCCGTTTTCGACAATCTTTATATCCACGGAAAGGTATTGACGAGCCCCACACTTCTATCTATTTAATTTTGGCTTAACACATGCCGAACTAAAAACCATAATTCGTGAAAAAAGTCTGAAACATCACTTTTCCCATTTTACTCTTTGACTCCAAGACACAAACATAATCACTTATCAAACATTATCATCATCCAATAAGGTCTAAACCTCATTCCCTTGAAGCCCAAAGCCTTTACTTGATCTATTTACTGTCCACAGTCCTGAAATAAGAAACTTCTCGAAACATGATGTTATATAATGCATATTTACATGTTTTTTCATGCACTTCATACTCCTTAATGTATCCTATCTCAGGCATTTAGATAACTTAATGTGCATATTTTTTTTCACATTTTGATTATTTTTTAGGTTTATCCGAGATAGTGGACTTTTTGAGTTGTTTTTACGTGTTTTGAGTGGTTCGGGACTTAAGGGATAAGCAAGAGCAAATGTCGGGCAATACGGATGGGAGATGAAAGAGATGCACAAGATAATGGACCTCTACATAAGCTAAAATTCGTTTGGGCCTAATAATAAAGGAAGTTTGGAATGCCCATATTGAAGAAAATACAAAAAGACCATTGTTGGGCTGAGATCACCCGAGCCCAATTCATGACCAGTCTATCCTGCCTTGGCTTGATAAAAATCAAAATCAGATTCGAAGAATTAGGTCAAACTCGCTTGGGTCCAACCTTAGGCCATTTCAACCAAGTCTATTTACACTACAAATCCATATCGGCCACGTATTTTTTGAGTTTTGGTTACGTAAACTCTATCGTCGGCCTATATTGGATTGGGACACTTTCAGACTCATCATGATTCATTTTTTAAGAGAAGAAATACAAGTGAGCGTACTTGAGCAAAGAATTACAACTTTTTCCATAACTTTGATTTGTAGTCATAATTAGTACTTTTTATGCTATTTTTTGAATTGTGTTTATCGTGTTAGTTATGATGTGTGGCTAGCTAAAACCATAGCTCCTTGATTTCAAGTCGTTTTTTAGTAATGCATATTTGATCTTTTCATTTAATACTTGTTTATGTACTTAACTTGAATTGACCATTTAGATTAGGTTCTTTATAAGTAGTTATTAGTAAAATTTATGGAATACTTAATAGTTTTATAAGTTTTATTAAGTAAGAAGTGGTGTTTGTGAATTTCAACTTACATCATAACGTTTATTGCACGTTTAAAACTTTTTGAAGTTGTGAGAAAAGGTGAAGGTTGTTGAGAAACTTGATTTCTTAATGCAATCTTTTAGTTGATCTCGAAAAACTTGTTTGAAATTAATTAGTTAGATTAGGTTTAGTTGAAAAACTTGTTTGACTAAACACTTTGCAAGTACCATTGTATTATAACATGTTAATACCTAGTACAAACTTAACCCATAAAGTCAAATTCTTACATCACCCACGATAATGACCATGTCAAGTGTAATAAACTTAAAGTTGGATATTTTCTCATTTGATTGTCTTCTTTCATATATTCGCATGTTTACTTCCTGTATAATTTAATTGTTATCGAAAAACTCCCCATATTTTGATTGAACTTGTACATATTATTGTTTAATTTGAATCCTTGCGGAAACAACCTTACTTGCCACCATTGCAAACCATTGTGAGAGTGAGCGAAAAATATATACATCTTTCATTTGTTGGTTTCGACACCCAAAAAATTGGCATCGTTGCCTAAATTCAGGAATTTTAACTTTTTTATGCCAAGATCTCATTGTATATTTACATCTTTGGAACTAAACTTGTAAGTCGAGAAGATATCAAGATTTATGAAAAGAAGGTAAACACTAACACCATCAACGAAGAACTAAATCGACAACATCGTACATTCTTTATAATTCCCCATCAAGCGAAAATCATGAGATCGAAACCAAAGTCCGGTCAAGTCGACCCGAAGAGGAAACCCAGACCCCAAATATGGAAAACCATTTAGAAAGAATCCTAAGGTAATGGTTTGCACCATTTTTTTCATGTTCTCGTTACATCACTAGGGTATATTGCAATCATGTAAATTGATATTGAATCTTAAGTGTACTCGACTATCACATTCGATATGAAAGAACTTGTTCATTTAGGTAAATATGACGTTGACATTGCGTCCACTTTGATATCTTAGGCTAGTAGATGTACCCTCTTACTAACTTTTATTTTTTGTCTGCTAACTCGTCCGCACACCATTTTTTACTCACCCTAGGAAATGGTTACCTGTCACTCCCTTCATTTTCTTAACATTCAAATATGTATAAATAATATATCAATATTATACTCTATTTATAAGGAATTAAAAACCATGATTTTTTAAATATTTTTTTATTATATGTAATTTAATACTAAATTAAACAAATTAAAAAAGAAAAAAAAATAAACCATAGTACATCGATCAACCTTCACCTCCACCTAACCGTCACGAACCACGAACTAACTCCGATATACCTATCACGACCACAGAGAGAGAGAGAGAGAGAGAGAGAGAGAGAGAGAGAGAGAGAGAGAGAGAGAGAGAGAGAGAGAGAGAGAGAGAGAGAGAGAGATTGCCCTCATTCGTCGTGTTGCTCGTTGGTCACACCACTATGGACCAGGACCACGCGCTTGACCACGATCGTCCGGGATGGTGTGCATGGACAACGACAATGACCACCTAAACCACGAAGACCTTCGTGATAAGTATTGCAGACGACCTTATATTAAAAAGTTGTTTGATTGAAATGCACTATTGTAATAAAAATACAGAAATAAAATTTGTGTAACCTATTAAATATAATTAAAAAAATAAATAAACAAGTCGTGCATTATTAAATTTCTTTTTCACGACATTAACCCTTCCCAAACACGCTACAAGTTATAGCAAACCCAATGATAAACTCATAAACGGAAGTGTCTTTAGCTGAATCTGGAGGACTAGAAAGTCGAAAGCATCTCCACATTTTGTCCGAGAATGGAGATGTCCTCTTGGGACGAATGGGTAGAGCTGGCACTTTCGAAACTAGAGTCTATGAAAGTCTTGCGGTCTCTAAGACCCATTCACTACTCTAGTTACCCCTTCGAAATTAAACCCAAAATTGACCATGCCTTCAAGGTGTTCGACGATATTCGCCAATGGGATAGAGCTTCTGTTGAGATAGAGATTGCAGAGTCTACATTTAACAGATGGCTCCAAGATGTTCCCAGTTCTGGTACGATTTTCCCACTCTTCAAGTTTGAGCACTTTCGATCTATGTGCAATGTGAATTTTGTAATTCTTTTGTTATTATTTTTTCCTTTTTTCCTTTCTGAGCATGGATATGGAAACTTCATGCACATTTTTTATAATGATAATTTTCAAGGTCGTATGAATGATTAAATGTCGACACTCGACATGCACCTAAATTCTATATTTTGTGGTGCTTGCAGAGTGTCATGTATTGATTGATTAATGGTTTGGTTGAACACAAGTCACACGATACTTTGGATCATATTAAATTGTTAATGGTTCAGTTTAGAATTCAAGCGATGTCTAATGTTTGATGATGAATTTCACAGGTGATGACCTTACATGTGACAATGCAGATGTTGAAGGTGAATCAGGGTCATGCTCTAAGCAATTGAGAAAGCTACTTCTATTCTCTGGAAATGATTACTTGGGGCTAAGTACACATCCAATGGTTGCCAAGGCTGCCACAAAGGTAGGTGTTTGATGTTAACTCATTTTATCTTGGATTACTTGACTGGTAGTATAGCAACCAACTGTCCCATTTTCATTAATTTGGCTTAAAAAAACTATTTTCATTGCCTATTAAGTCACTAATTGGCATTGGCATTGGCATCTGGCAATGAAAATAGTTTGTTACCCAAATTAACAAAAATATATATAGTTGGATGCCATACCAGCTTAATCAACCCCTTTTATCTTTCCTTATTTACCTAACTTTTGGTACTAGTGCTTCTAGTTTGTGATAACATTGCATGATATCTTTCTATAAATAGGCAGTTCAAGAACATGGGATGGGACCAAGAGGTTCTGCTCTAATCTGTGGTTACACAACTTATCACAGATTATTGGAATCATGTTTGGCAGAATCAAAGAATAAAGAGGTCTTAACTCTTAAGTCTTAACTCACTCTTTCTATATCATAATTGTTTTGTGGTAATCTTGTTATTCAAAATCAGTTTTCCATCTATTAAAAGATGCAACCATATGAGAAACAATTCCATAATTACTGATTGGAAGCTGATGATGTCATATTTATGGTTACTGCAGGACTGCCTTCTGTGTCCCACAGGGTTTTCAGCCAATATGGCTTTCATGACAGTAGTTGGATATGTCGGCTCTCTCTCAGATATAAACAAAACTCATTTGAAGGAAGGTGTTGCAATATTTTCTGATGCTTTAAATCATGCATCAATAATTGATGGTATTCGGCTTGCAGAGAAGCAAGAAATTGTGCAGGTTTTTATCTATAGGCATTGTGACATGGCCCACCTTAATGTATTACTGTAGGTTTCATATTTCTAAGTCAGTTTTTGATTGATGAATTATTCTTACACGTGTCATAAGGCTAGACATTTTCATATGTTGCAGATCGAATTGCATGATGAAGAAAAAAGTTGTTGTGACTGACAGGTAGCCAAATATAGCATTGTACTTTCGTTCATTTGTTTATGACAGCATCCTACTTTCATTTCTTTCTATTGCTACATTGTACTTTCAATTGTTTTTTTATTAAGTCATTTTACTTTGAAAAGGCTACCCAAATATAGCATTGTACTTTCCAAATATCCCATTGACATCAGTCTTCTTAATCTCTAGCCCAATGCATGTAGTACAAGACAGTTATGTGATGTCATTTGATTGTTTATGTTGAATATCATATCTGTGTAGTGTTTAAATTGTAACTATTGGCTTGCATCTGTGTATATGATAGGTGTATTAAGGAGATGTGTTTTTATGACTTTTATCAGCTTGTTTAGTATGGATGGAGACTTTGCACCAATGGTCCAGCTTTCCAAGCTTCGCAAGAAGCATAATTTTTTGTTGGTGGTTGATGATGTAAGTCTTGATTTTTTAGTAATGTATAAATTGTTATGCTTATTTATATAATATCTTCTACTGTTATAGTCATATTCATCAGATTCAGACTTTTTTTTTTTTTTTTTTTTTTTTGTTTTGTTTTGATCCGTAGGCTCATGGAACACTTGTTTGTGGGAAGAGTGGTGGGGGTGTACCGGAGGAGTTTGGGTGTTCAGATGATGTTGATATATGCATTGGCACTCTTAGTAAAGCTGTGGGTTGCCATGGTGGTTTCATTGCTTGCAGGTTCTTGTCTCCTTAATCCTTATAACTAACTATATCTTAAAGTATTGTTTGTGGCTCTAGTTGTTTCTTCTCATCTTTCCTGTATTAAAAAACCAGTCATTTTTTAAAGGGCTAAATGCAATAAATGTATATACAATATATAACAGCAAAAAGTGGAAGCAGCTGATACAATCAAGGGGACGTGCTTTTATATTTTCAACTTCTACCCCTGTACCCATGATTGCTGCTGCACATGGTAATTTATTACATTATTTGTGGCCTTAAAAGCTAAATACGTATTGATTAATATAGTAATAATAAAATGGTAATTACTTAGCTGCTGTGGTGGTAGCAAAGAAGGAGACATGGCGTAGAAAAGCAATTTGGAATCGGGTGCAAGACTTTCGTAGTCTTACTGGGATTCCCATCACAAGTCACATCATTTCTCTTATAGTTGGGACTGAACACCAAGCTCTGCAAGCAAGCCGGTCTCTTTTTCTTTCTTTTCTTTCTTTATCTTTTTTTTTTTTTTTTTTAATGATTCAAAGCTTTTTCTTACCAATGTTTTATGTTTACTTTTTCATGATTGTTTTTATTTTTTAAATAAGACAGGCACATGCTGAAATGTGGATTTCATATAACTGCAATCAGGCCCCCGACTGTTCCACCTAACTTATGCAGGTTTGTTGCTTCTTATCAGCTGCTCTTTCTTTTTTTACTTAATGGATTTGATAATGGGACATCAGGGTTGTTTTTTTGTCCCATTAACTCATGTATGTGTAAAGTACCTGAATGGGTAATGATGTTTGTCTCGAAAAAAATGCTGCATACATAAGGTCTGTTTTTGTTTTTCTAGACTGAACAACTGTCTGATTGTGGCTAAATGACCATTTTACCCTTCCATTCCAAAAAACAAAACTCATCAATTTTGGCGTGAGAGGAAAAAAGAATGTCAAATAGGCGAAGGGTTAGTGTCTGAATACATTAAGCCAGGATTTTTCTAAACTTTTTTTTGGCTTAACATATTAAGTCATTCTATCCGGATTAAGCCAAAGGGAAACAGCCCCAATATATGAGTGTTTCTTTTTTACTCTGTGCAGAAAGAACAATTTAATAGAGGAAGTCAAGAAAAAAGAATCTTTCTCCATTAAGTCCTATCTTTTTACAAATTTCTTCTTGTTTTTTCCTTCCATTATACAAGTGAGCGTCGTTTTCTCAAATATTTTTCAAAATCATTTATCCAAACAAGAAAAAATGAAATAGGGTCATAGTCTGCTTATCTTGCTGCAGGTTTTCTATTGTCTCTGGTGCTTTTACTACTATATCAAAGAATGTTTTGTTTATAAACTTGCAGGCTGCGGATCACTCTGAGTGCAGCACATACTAGAAACGATATAAGAAAACTCACATCTGCATTATCCCAATGCATAAGTTTAAGAGAGAGCGGATATTTCTACACAAATGCCACACCCAAACTCTAGCATGTGATGGCTGCATATAAGAAAATTGGAAAGCAATATAACAATCTTGTGAGAAACCATCACAAATACTGTCATGTTTTGCATCCAAATGGGTGTTTCCAACATCTCACCAGCAAACTCAAACTCATTTTGTGACATGTACATTTATTGTTATTTTTGCATCAACTATAGTGATACTTGTTAGGGTGCAGATGCATTACGTTGGTGTTGCTTATATTTCATAATTTGTTGTCTTGGATGCAAATTATATTAGATTGTTTTCGGTTGTACTATGCATATGGGTATGGGTATGATAGCAGGTTAAAAGAGTGAGTACACATCCATTTTGGATCAAAAAATTTGTGTGGATTTAAATCTGATTTGGAATGATACAATTAGGTTTATGTTCGCTTTGAGCTTTGTAGTGATTCATTGCATTGCATGTTGAAAATGAAATCCAGGTGATTGTGAAATTGATATTTATAGTTAGATAACTAAAATGAATAAGATGTTTGTTAGGCAGTAGGTAGGACAACTGGACAAGACACAGAACAAGTTGTAGTGTATTTCGTGTGTACTAGACCAAGATGTGACAAATTGCAAAATAAGTTACCACAGAATTTCCAAACAGTTGCAAACAAACAGATAAATCAAACAAGTATTTCCAGCAATTTACACATTAACAGATACAGTTGAGGAGTTAATTGAGTTGGTTGTTTTTGCAAAGGAAATATTTACGATGAACCAACAAAAGACACCAATATAAATCAGGTACTGGAGCTCCCCAAGTCAAAATCCATGGTGTAATCATATTCAATGGTTGGAATAACAGTAGCCACGAATTTCAGAAACAAAAAAAGGTACCTGCAACACATAACACATTTTGCCATTAATTTCAGAAATTCTGATAACTTTAAAAATAAGTGCCGAGTCATTTTAAAGTGATGTTTTTTTTTTTTTTTTTTTTTTTGGCAAAATTATTCCACCCAGTGGCTTTTTTGATAACCAACCCAATATACAATGTGTTTTTCTGTATCTATCCATGTGTTGAAAAAAAGAGGTTATTTGGTGATTTGATAATAAGTATGAGTTTGGTTGAAAAAGAAAATTACTTGTCAACTTGTGGTTCAAGTCCTCCGGCGATTAGGGGTTCAATTAGTTTCTTCATGACAGCCGCATGTTTGCATGGATGTACAGATGCATGTTTCCCAGGCAAGTGAGGATGGTCTTCAATAGTTACCTGCAATTAATTCATCATTACTCACTCATAAGCTGCAAAAACCTCCATTGATTTTATTACTATAGCTTCCTACTTCCAAATAAATGCAGTTTTCACAGCTATAACTGGATAAAATGCTAAAATTAAGTAGATTTTTCAAACTGCCAATATCTTAATCAGAAAAGTTTGAAAGTAGTATATTATTATGCAGCAATACAAAGAAATGAAAGTATGTTGGTATTTCTTGCATATAGCCAACAAACATGTAATGCTTACCGTTTTGCGAGCATGATCTTGACTGACATCTTCAAGGACTAACTCTGGCTCAAGAAGCATCCTTGACTATAAATATAAAATTGGCAAAGTTTCAATACTTGTATTTGCACAGAATAACCTCGGAATTAAATAATTAAGTTGAAGTTTGCAGATGTTTCTAACCTCATCATAGCCAGTAAGCCAAACACGAGGAGTTTGGTAATATTTATCATACCTGACAAAAAAGGAGAGTAAAACATCAGATCATGTAAATGAATATTTGATATATTAAAATCCAACTATAAAACAGAATAGATACAGTTGAACTTACGTGATGCTCACATCATAAGTTCGAGTTCGTAGAATATTCTCATCATCAGGCTCCTGTGCAACCAGATATGTAGGCTGAAGAGTTGCCTGAAATATTGCAATATATAATACATATATATCTTATTTGGGTTTTAATACAACAGCAAGACAAGTGTATCTTACAGGATCCGACTCAATAAGGTTGTCAGCTTCTTCAAACTCTTCCATATCTGGGATGTCTTCTTCCTCCTGGGTGCCAAAATATGAAGAAATTGACTGGATGTTCTTCTTCTTCTTGCTTATTTCTAGGGTTTCCATACAAGGAACAAGTTCCTCCTCATCACTTTTGGTATCTATACAGATAGTCAAAACTCCAAAATCAAAATACAAACAAAATTCATATTTCATATTAAAGATCCCTAGATGACTACATACCTTTTGGTTGCCCATGGGTAGCCAACCAACCATCATTCTCTTCATCATCAAGCAATATCTCACCTCCAGCAGCTTCATATTCTTCTTGTATTGATGCAACTCTTCGCAAACAAGGAACTGAAATGAAGTTCATATTAAACTTAAGTGTTGTTTCTTTTTTACTTGATCAAAACATAACCCACCCCCAGAAAGATGACATAATCAAACTTGTAATTACATTAAGATTTGAAAAGGAAAAGACTGTTAATGTTCACTATCAGAATTCAGGAAAAATTAACAATATATTTACGATACAAAGATGATCCATAACAAATCTGAATTCAAAAGGAAACGCTATTTTACCATTTCTAGTGATCAAAAATTGTTTATCAGATGGCAAATACGACTTCCTCTTGTTTGGATCACCTGATTCCCTGACAAAGAATATAGGAGCCTCATGAGGTAAAGAATGTACATAGATATAACTAGCATCAACAAAGGAGAACATGTTCTTCTTACTATCAACATGATTGAACCATACATATAAAAGGATTGACACATGGACTTTTAAATGTGATGATAATAACTCATTCCCAATGTACAGAATACACACGCCTAACATTGAGGAAATCAGAATCACTTTAAGAGCAATAATAGATGTTTTCCTTCACAGATAAACCATTATGCAGTGTCAAATTTTTGGTTGATGAGAGTAAGAAATGAAGTTATTTATATAGTCTAAACATAACAGGCCACCAAAGGAAAGAGTGACTCATATATTCGGGAGGTGAGAACATTGTTTATCAGGTAACTATTTTCAATGAGGATGATGAACAGAAGCCAATTGCTAATATAAATAAGCATAGACCTAGTATGGTCCTGAGCATAACCTTTCTGTATATGGTATTCACTTTTTTCATTAGTTGATAATTGGGCTAGTATGAGCCATAGGACTACAGATTTCCCAATCTTCCAGCTCTCAAACAGTTCAGAAGATTCAGACCCCATGGCTCCTGATATCATCTACCTTTATATCATTAAAACTTTCTCATAAGGACTTTGAGCAGTTAGCTTATTTAGTTTCTAATTAACAGCATGGATAGAACCCCAGATTCTAGGCAAATTACTTTTTTCCCCATCGATATCAATATACCTTCTAAAAACATTAATCATGACTCAAATCCCATAGGTTTGACTGCCAGATGATATACAGTTATAACATTAATACTCGAGGGACTGCGTTTAATCATAGATAAATTATTCAATGAAAGGGAAAGTGAATTTACCATGACCAAGTAGGACATTTGGAAACGAGATTGTCTCCGGCGATGACGAATTCATTAACGCTAAGTACACCTTTCTCTTTGAAAGCAGATACAGTCCTAGGGTTTGTGATCCTCTCTACCGTACCTTTGAACGCCTCGTGGAGCTTTTGCGATAAAACCATCTCCGATTAACCACAGAATATGATAGGAATCCAATCGAGTAACGAAAGCTGATCGATGAATAATCAGATCACAAACCCTGAGAATAAAATCAGTAAACCATTTAAGGTTTTGGATATGCGTAGTAAAGTGAGTTTACGCTAACCATTACAATCACGAAGACGGGAAGCAACGTGGAGCGATCACGGGGTAACTTTATGTGATGGGAGTCGAAACAGTAGGCCGAGGTTTCAGATGACTGTCAATATTAACATTATTATCAACAGATAGATACAATTTGTAGATAGTGTTGGGTTTTATGTTGACATTGTTTTTATATATAAACGGGAAAATGACTTATCAAGGTAATTAACTTTTCGGTATGTTCACATATGGGTAGCTATCTTTTTTTTTTGTACACATCTAGGTAACAAACTTGTTGGAAGTGTTCACATATGACCATTATGACCTGCTGTAGCAGGTTAAATCCTAGATGTGAACACTTTCAATAAGTTCGTTACCTAGATGTGTACAAAAAAAGTAGTTACCCAAATATGAACAAAACGAAAAGTAAGAGTAAATTACACGAATGGTCCCTGTGGTTTGGGGGAATTTGTGTTTTTGGTCCCTAACGTATTTTTTTAACTCGGATGGTCCCTACTATTTATTTTTATTGCGCGTTTGGTCACTGTCTTACCTAAAAAGACTATTGTGCCCTTATTAATTTATTTTTTAATTAATTTTCTTATTTATGTATTTATTTTTTTATATATTTGAAAAAATTAATAGACCCCACATATCTGTATCTCCTCGGATGATCCGTACTGATTATTTTTTAATTAATTTATTTTTTTAACTCGGATGATCCCTACTGTTTATTTTTGTTATACGTTTGGTCTCCGTCTTACCTAAAAAGACTATTGTGCCATTATTAATTATTTTTTTTTAATTAATTTTCTTATTTATGTATTTATTCTTTATATATTTAAAAAAACTAATAGACTTTACATATCTGTATCTCATCACCATCACATCTCTCATTCTCCTCAACTTCTATTTATTTTCCATCTTTAGTGATACAGATATGTGGGGTCTATTAATTTTTTTAAATATATAAAAAATAAATACATAAATAAGAAAATTAATTAAAAAATAAATTAATAAGGGCACAATAGTCTTTTTAGGTAAGACAGGGACCAAACGTGCAACAAAAATAAACAGTAGGGACCATCCGAGTTAAAAAAAATACGTTAGGGACCAAAAACACAAATTCCCCCAAACCACATGGACCATTCGTGTAATTTACTCTTACTTTTCGTTTTGTTCATATTTGGGTAACTACTTTTTTTGTACACATCTAGGTAACGAACTTGTTGAAAATGTTCACATCTAGGATTTAACCTGCTACAGCAGGTCATAATGGTCATATGTGAACACTTCCAACAACTTTGTTACCTAGATGTGTACAAAAAAAAGATAGTTACCCAGATGTGAACATACCGAAAAGTTAATTACCTTGATAAGTCATTTTTCCTATATAAACTGATCACTCGAATATTCAGGGATATCATACGGAAATTGAATAATTTAACCCCCTTTTTTTATGTTCTTTACAAATATAATCTTTTTTTTATATAAATTGACCACTTATTCTGGAATAGGGCTTTCCGGAACATATTTCGGACAATTTTTCGGGTGAGCTGGCCCATTACCGTGGATCTGGAATTCCCATTCCGGAACCCATTCG